GATGGAATTACAGGGGGTTCAAACTAGCTTTTTGCTTATCACTCTTGGCTGAATTTAATAGAAAGACCCCAAAAGATGCAAAGACCCCCTTGTCTATAATAAACTCTCCCTTGATTGCCCCTACTCCCTACTCAGCACTGGCCTGGCTTCTTGAGGCCAAGTTGTCAGTCTCTTCTCCTTGAACATTGTCTTCATCCCCTCAGCAGTAGGGGCAGTTTTGCAATAGCTCTAAGAGCTAAATTTTAGTCCTTGAACTTAGATCAGTGTTACTCACCTGAGGTTCGGATTAGATCTTCCCCCCGATCTTTAGGAGAAGGGGGCTCAGCTAAGCTCATTGAGTAGGGTCATTGTTTCATTTTTGCTCTTGGATAACCTGTTGATTTGGGCTAAACATCAAGCAGTGACACCCTGGGCAGTGTCTGTCTGGGAGCCACTTCTTACAAGAAGCTGCACAAAGCCCCAGACAGGCCATGTGAGGTGGACTTTTCCTGGGGCTATCTGGAGCAGAAGCCAGGTGCTCCTGGGCATTGTTGTCAGCCTTTGTGCTCTCCATCACCCATCTCAGGAGATCAAGCGCTGTTGCCAGTTTGCTAGTGTTCTTGCGCTGATGCAAATCTCATCCCTGGTTATGTGTGCAGGTGATATTCTTCCAGACTCACACCTCTACCTGTTAATATTTGTCAGTCTTTCTCTGCTCCTTCATGGCTCAGAAAATCAACATACACTTTATTCATATTTATTTTTACCCTCTGACTTCCATAGGTGATGGCCCGGCTGGAGTACGCCTAAGGTTTTGCACACTCTTCTGGCTGTTGCTAGTAATTGCTGGCTGTTTCCATGCTGTACTTCAGCATTTACAGTTGGAGTTGTCAGACCTGGAAGGTCCCAGAGGCCATTAGGGTCGACCTTCTTCCTTTTGTACAAAGGCAAATTGAGGCTTAGGAAGGAAGGGTGGTTTGTGAGACCATTGGCTCCACCAGGTGACCAGGTGGGCAGCTACTGGCCTCCCACCCCTACTGACTGGCTGTGGGCAGCACTGTCCAGAAGTGGGGGTTATATGGGGAGATATGGCTGGACAAAGGAGAGGGGAGATATGGCTGGACAAAGGAACCAGGCATTTCTTATATCTCAATGTTTATTTACAGCCTCCTCCCAAACTGCCCAGTGGAGTATTCAGTCTGGAATTTCAAGATTTTGTGAATAAATGGTGAGTTGGTGCCTTGTTCTCAGGCAGACCCCCCTTCCCTCTGATCACCCTCTGGCTGCTGCCCTTCTTGAGACCCTAGGACTTAGGTGACAGATCTGAGTGCGCTAGTAGTGATGAAACAGCTGTTGCTTTTGGCACTTTCTTGTGTCATAGAGATTGCCGTAAGGTTTCCTGACTTCAGTTTAATACAGCAAGCTTTTATTAACCTGTTGGCATAACAGTGTGCCAAGAACAGGAATAAGGCTACACTCTTAGAGCCTAGGGAGTAAGGAGGGCAGAAATGCAAATATAAGTAATAAGAATTAGAACCAATAACTCTTATCATTCTTCCTTTAAGCTTAATAAAAAACCCTGCAGAGAGAGCAGATTTGAAGCAACTCATGGTAAGTTCATTTCAGATGTGCTACCTTTTTTCATTTGTTCTCCCTCAAATTATCTGCGTGCTTTCTGAACCCATTGTGTTCTGCCTTGACCATGGTCTACCCTGGGGCTGCAGGACATCAAACATCAGCCTCTTGGGTCCCCTCAGTGTGGAGAAGCTGCGACAGCCTGCAGACTGAGGGAGCCAAGGGCTTTAAAGGGCCACCCACTCATTTTGTGGACAGGGCCTTTTTCTAACACTGAGTAGCTCACCTTATGTCCAGCACCCTCCCCAAGTCACAGCTCTTAATGAGTTGAGGGGTAGGGTGGGGTGGGATGGGAGGGGAAATGAGATTGTAAGTATTTGAGCTACCAGCCCAGGCAGTGACATGCACTTTCAAGTCCCTCAGTACCTTCTGACAACCCATGTGTTACTAAATGCGAAGCTACTACCCTTCCTCCCTCCTCCCACCTTTTCACAGCAAAAGCAGGCCCAGGGAAATGGAGCAAGTTGTCCAAGGCTCACAGCTGGTGAAATGGACAGAGCCAGGCAGAGTGGGCTTTCAGGCTGCTCGTGGCCCCTGTGGTTTAAGGCAGGCTGCAGGGGCTCCTTCCAGGTGCAGTGTTTGAGTTTCTTGAATTTTCCTTTTTAATACCACTTCTCTCCCTTTTTTCTTGCTCACAGGTTCATGCTTTTATCAAGAGATCTGATGCTGAGGAAGTAGATTTTGCAGGCTGGCTCTGTTCCACCATCGGCCTTAACCAGCCCAGCACACCGACCCACACGGCTGGTGTCTAAGTGTTTGGGAATCGGCAAACAGCGAGTCCCCTGCCCATGGTGTGCCATATTGCTTTCAGGCCTTTTTCACAAGCCTGTCTTTGTTCAGATGTGCATTTCACCTATGACGAGGATGAAGAACACAGCATGTGCCAAAATTCTACTTGTGTCATTTGAAATATTAGTATCTTTATTTACTATTGTTCTCCCCCTAAGTGGATTGGCTTTGTGCTTGGGGCTATTTTTGTGTACTGTCAGTGATCTGAACACACACGTTTCAACTGTAAGCCTTTGGTAACTGTGGGTAGTCATTCTTACTGAAAATTGCACTGCTCTTCCTTCACCGTGACTAGCTGGCCTTCTGTATTTTTGGGATTCTTTGACACTTGGTGGTACTTCATGCTTACTGGGTGTACCTTCTCTTTCATTAAGAAGGAGCCTTGTAAGATCCTTCACAGGCAGTGCATGTGAAGCATGCTACGCTGCTATGAAAATGAGCATCGGAAAGTGTATCATGTTTTTTATTTTGCTTTTGGTGTAGAATCCAGCAGTATCCATCAAAATCTAGACAGAGCCCTTCACTGCCATTATAGCTGGGGCTTCACCAGTCTGTCTACTGTGGTGATTTGTAGGCTTCTGGTTATATTTCTTATTTATTTTTAAATATACTGTGTGGGAAATTTAGTGGTATTTGTCTCTTTAAGTTTGGATAGTGTTTCTAAAATGGTGGAGTTACGTTGATTTACAGATGAATCAGGCATTAAAATTTATGAGATTTGTCTTTCCCCACATCCAAGTACTGATGCTATTGTAAACAAGTGTGTATAGTGCCTAAAAAATTGTACGAAAATCCTTTTAACCATTTTAATCCAGATGTTTAACAAATCTCTTATTCTAATAAATATATTATCAAGTTAAAAAGATGAAAGGTATTTTTGTGGTGGGATTTTAAAGTCTCTGTATTCAAGAAATGAAATGGCATTATTGTGAGGGGAAAGTAAAGATGGGAAGGAGGCTAGAAGATGGAAAAACATTGGGGACAAAGGACAAACTCTGCAGACTCATGGGACATTTTGACAATTCCATTCTTTATCCAAGTCTCCTTCCCACATACTCTTTAACTTTGACTTCCAATCACCTTCCTGTGAACCAGTGACTAGGTCCCATCTATTCCTTCCACCTTATACAGAGAAGCAGAAGGTGGGGTGAGGGTGGGGGGCATGCTCAGGGGCCACCTTGTGGAGGCCAGCAGTGTCTGCTGGCTTGGGCACTTCCTCCTTGTGGCCAGTCTGTACCCCTTTGCCCCTGCACACTAGTTCTCCTGAGCACAGTTACAGGAACTACACCCTCCTGGACAGGAAGAACACTGAACAGGCTGGTTCAGTCATGTCTATAAGGCAGTAGTGAAGTTGCAGAAAACCACCACATTCCAACTGGAACAGCTCCCTTTTCTTCTCAACAGTGATTTTTGGAACCTGAGGTGCATGTGAGGTTGTCTTGGTCAACATCTCTTCCTCCACCTTTTCCTCTTTGAGAGAGGTTATAGAAAATCAACACATATATTTAAAAATTAAAGGCCCATTTAGTTTTCACATTAAAAACAGAAACTAGGTAGATGTCCAGAGCAGGTAGTTCCACTTGAGCTCAGCCAGAGCTGGGGCACGGCCAGGACTTTACAGAGCAGTCAGTGTTGTGCACACTGTCTCAGGTAGCCAACCACTTACTTCTTGCTGCAAGGCTAATGTGTTCTAAGTCACCAGTCTAATCTATATGTTTCAACATAAGACATTCAGGCTGAATTCTTAAGATTTAAAACCTAACTCTTGAGAGAAAGCCATTGAAACAGAATGTCTCATTAAAATGTGCTAAGCACATCTTAGGAGAAAGAAATGATACAACCTGGAGTCTAAAGCCTGGATCTGAATGCTTTCATGCTTGGTGTCTTCAGGGGAGCATTTTAAATTCTCTTTACACCTAAAGGTGTTACATATTGAGAGTCTTGATTTTTTTCCCCAGTAATTTTTGCCAGAATGAATGATCCAGTTCTCAAGAATGATGTTCCCTGCATCAGTCTTCCTGTTTTTCCCATCCACCATGCCCAATTCCGTCCCCAATTCCGTCTTCTTACTGAAAAACCAATAATAGTTGTATTTCTAAATGATAACTCATTAGCACCTCACAATAACCTGTGAAGCTGCTAAAGCAGATATGAATAAACCTGCATTTTACAGATGGGAAAGTGAGAGTTGCAAAGGGGTGAGAAAAGACAAGCGACCAGTTAATGGTAGAACTAGAATTAATAGCCAATTATTTCTGGCTTTTAAAAACCCAAGCTCATATTTTAAATTAGGCCCTCCAAATGTATACCTCGAAGCTGTTCATTGCAAAACTCAGTTTTCCAAGAAACAAGCTCATTCAAACTTCTGGCTCTTTCCTGTAAGAATAGCTCAAAATAATTTTATGAAATGTTGATTAACAAATATATCCATGTTCTCTTCTGGAACAGTTACGTAAGCTCTGCTTGAGGAGGTTCTTTGCGTTTTGTTTCCCCATTGCTTGGGCAGGGCAAATTACTTTTATAAAATTAGCAACTACTTAACTGTATAGTCAGGGAAAAGGGGGCAGTATGCAGAAATGAATTCAGACTTCAAATACCAAGTTTTATCAACTCATTCTGTAATTATCATTTTTATTACAAAATTCAACTTTCCCAAGCATAATGATTTTAATGGTACACTTCTCTAAGTTCAGAAATAGGTTTTAACTATCATGTTCTAATGTTTTCCTCAAAGAAACATCTTTCTCTGCTGCCGTTTGAAGACCAGCAAGCTGTGTGATAGCTATTTATAACTTACTTCCAAGCATATTTTCCCATAATGTCTCAACCTAAAGTGATACAGCCACACAAAAAACAGTCTATAGTGGACAGCATATCACTTAGCAGTGCCACTGTGTTCTCAAGTGATTCTGTCCTTGTCATCTTGTTTCCAACTGTGGCCTTGCCCTGCACACAAGGGTTCATTGGCATGTATACGGCTCTTAACTGGTTTTCTTAGAAGAGACACTGTTGATTCGAAGGGCTGACATATTTAAATTCTGCCCTCTTTGGCAAGTGCTAACTTTCTTAGTAGCATTTCAGAAGTATTTTCTATTTTTAACACAATTGCTGAATCTGATCAGAAGACACAGCATCACCATATTATTCAGTGCTAAAACACAGCATGCTTGCTTTCTGATGTCACTGATTTGTGTTAAGCATTCTGAAATCTGAGTTACTGATGAATCATTTTTACAACTATACATCCCCTCAAGTTCTTTCTTCCATTTAAAGCATTAGGCCTATGGCAAGAAGACCTCTTTAAGGAGATAAAGTTGCTGAGACTTAGAAGTTTAATTTACAAAACTAACCCTGGCTCTTTGCCCCCTCAAGAATCTGATTCTTCTTCCTCCTCCTCCTCCTCTTCTGGCACATGGGTCCTTGTGCTCAACTCTAGTGCAGTTTGGTTGATTGATGCTTCATTGTCTACATGCACCAGCACCTGCTTCAGCCAAGGACATTATGGATTAGTAGAAAGGACATTGGCCATGAAATAGCAACTTCTTAAAATGTTTTAAAATAGATCTCAATTGCATAATCATCTCCAACATTGATCCGCAAGAGGTATGGCCACTTTACTATTTCTCCAAATTCTACCCTCACTCCTCTAACTCTATTGCCAAAATGAAAGGAGAAAGAAATGCTGTAGATCTGATAGAATGTTACCTGAGCTATAAATATACAGCTTATATATGATAGTTTCAAGTGGCTTAGCACAAATCTGGGGGAAGAAACACTCAAATATGGTATAGTTAAAAAGAACAGACTTATACTGATTTACCAAGGTGAGGAGGATATGGTGTGGACCAGAACTCATTTTTTAGCTCTATGTTTTGTAGTTGAAACTACACTTATTTTCAAATCCCAAGTTTACTTATTCACAAACAGCAAGAGTTCTGACATGTCTTAGCAGAGATCTCCATCCTCTGCCTGGATTCACTGCAGTAAGTAGAGAGAGGGATGACTAAAATGGTGGAGACTATATGATAGTATGTAATTCATAAAGTACTAGCTGGTAGAAAGGTGATCTGTTCCCTATATAAAGTAGCAATGTAGAATAGCCAGTTTGTTAAACTACAAAACTACAACTTCCCAGAGTCCTTTGGGCTTGATGTGATTTACAGTAAGTTTTGACTTCCAAACACCATGAGAGAAAAGTGGCCTTCATATTCTCCTAAACCCACACTTGATTAAACTTACATCATGTGACTGTTCAGGCGGCGGTAGAGAAGGCACCATCTCATCCCCTCTTGCAGAACTAATCATGGATTGGAGGGCCATTTCTTCAACCTAGAAAAGTAGCATTGAGGATGTTTTCCTTACTATTTTTTTTTTTTAAGATTTACTTATTTATGCATATAAGAGCTGGGGTGTGGGCCACGGGAAGGTGGGGCAGGGTGGGGGGTCATGAGAGGATTCACCAGAGATAGAGCTAGGAGCAAACCAAGCAGACTGACTGAAATGTACTGCTGAGGGGAGCAGTGGGAGACACAGGAGAGGTCTGCTGTGCCATGTGGGTCACCTCCCTGGCTAGGGATCACACTTATGCTGCAGTGGCTGGAAACAGCTTGACAGCGCTGTCTTTAACCCCTGTGCCACCAGGGAGGCCCCATTTTTCCTATTTCTTTGGACTGATGAGGTTAAAATTTACTGAGGAGCCCTCCCTGGTGGTGCAATGGGTTAAAGCACAGCACTGTGAAACTAGCAGCAGCTGCTTCAGTGTGAATTTGATTCCTGCCCTGGAGGTGACCCACATGGCGTGGCAGACCTCTCCTGTCTCTCCCACTGCTCCCCATCAGCAGTGTTCTTTGTGGATCTGCCTATTCTGCTCCCCACTCTGCAACTATGGCCTGTATCCCACTTCTGTATACATAAAAAATCTTTTTTAAAAAAAGTCATTTGAAAAAAGTTGGCTTTATGAGAGGAAGTGAAAATGGTAATATTTGTAGTTTTGGAGGGAAGCATAGGTCTCTTAGCTTTTAAGTAAATGAGAAAAGTCTCTAGTTCCTTCCTTTAGGAGGTGTTTCTGCTGAACTAAGGCTTCCCACTCTCACAATGGCCACTGGCCATTAAATAAAAATCAAGTGCCTGATGGCACAGTGAGTTGATTTCCTATTCCTGAGCTTGGCTACCCAGCAATGAGGAAGTAAAGGTAGTAAGTATGGGAAATGTGTTTGCTGCAGCATAAAGGAGTCTACACACACACTGGAAGCAACACACACACTGTATTAGTAGTGTGGTGGTATAGGTGAGAATCATTACATTACTGATGGAAAGTGCTTATTACTTTAATGCCCCAGTTGATTGTACATAAGAGTTTTCATAGCCCTCATCTCACTGGGAACGAGAGGGTGAATACCGTAAAGGCTGGTGGGTCTAAACGATGCTTTATCAACACTGCTTAGTAAAAGCTCCCGAAAATAGGTACTGAAAACTCGATTGAGACAAGTTTTCAATCTCGGGGCCTCAAATTTTCTCCCTACAACGGTAAGATATGCGAGTGTTCTAGCTTTGCAGTAACAGCGCTGTTTTAAACTCAACACAAGCTAGTAACAGGTTCATAAATGCGCACGAGAAAGAGGTGGGAGGGCAGGTTAAATCGCACTCGCTCCGCGTGTCGTCTGTGGCCATCTATTTACCGGGCTGAGCCTAAAGTGTGTGCTCAGACATACGCTTGCTGGGTCTCGGTCGGGATGAAGGATGAAGATTCCGAGTGGGATGGCCCTTAATCTCCAATCAACCCCACCCCCGGATACTTGGGCTACGCGAGCTTGCAATGGAAGGGCTAAAACGGCAGCCTGTGGGCGTCTGAGCCGGCGGAGGTCAGCGTAGACCCAGGCGGCCCGGGCTCGGGGAAGCGGGACAGCGGCAGGTTGCAGGGGCGCGTAGGGGCCGCTGGGTCACCTTGAGACGGTTTAGCTGGTCGTGAAGTGCCGCCTTCAATCTGAGCAACGTCTCCTCCTCCTTGCGCAGCTCCTGAAGCCGGCTCAACATTCCGCCCGCTCTCGACCGCTCCGCTCTCCGCGGCTGCGCGGCCGGCGCCCGGTGATGACGCCACCTCCTCCCCGGAAGCGGCAAGACCTGCGGTAGGGTGGGGCGGCGCCGCGAACGAGCTTCCGGCTGGGGTCGATGCTTGCCTCTGCGTAAGGGGCGTTAAACCTTTAAAGCCAGTAAAATCCACTCGGGAACGCAAAGTACGGGGTACGTGCGAGGGGAGTGGGGGTTGAGTTCGAGCGGTTAACATGGACCGAATGGGATATTGCAACGTTCAAGACCTGCAGATGCTGTTGGAGGCAGACTAAAATCAGCACCTGGCACCCAAGTCACTTAAAACCTTTTGTACTGGAGGCCTGCCTGGCAGACAAGGGTTCCTGGCCAAGTTAGTTTCCCAGGAGGTCAGGGCAAACTAAGGAGCATAAAGCAGTTAACTCTTTTTACACAAAGTTCTCTTGAACCTCCAAGTGGGCACCATGTGACTATCCTAGCTTTGCACTTCCAATTATGGTCCACTTAAATGCCTCAAGGTATGAAATGACAGGTCACACTTTAGTATACAATGGTCTGGGGCACATTTCTCGCATCAAGCTTGATTAACATATTCACCCTCTACCAAAACTGTAAAATGTAAAACACATTTCTGGCATTAGTACTAATTAAGAGTGGCATTGCTGCATTCTGTCAGGTTGTACAGTGCTTCTCAGAGGGAAACATTCATTTCTCACCAGTGTGCCTCAAAGCTAATTCTGCCCCCTTGTGGATATGGAAAATGTCAAATCTTATCTACCTATTTTCTCCAAGGTGTTTCTTTTTGCTGACTAAATTCAAACAACTAGTGTCTGTGAGACATCCTTACCCATCTATTCTGTAAAACATGTTATTTACAAAATGGCAGTGTATAGCTGGACTTCTGGAACATCCCTCTCAAACTATAGGCATTTGGTGTAACCAAGGCTCCATATTTTATCACACTATAAAATGAAATAAATGGAGGTTAAAGCCATACCACACAGGTGACGTCTTAAAAAAAAAAAAAAGCCTAACAAGATTGACAGAATATACCCAACAAGTCACATATTTCACTGCCTCTGATCAGGTCTTTATTTAAATTTTGCTGTCCAAAATGATTTGCCCTTTATAGAATAAACAGGTTTAAGATTATGCACCAGGCTTCTTTTCTTCTGTGGAAGGTTTCTTTTCAGTGGGCTTCTTTTCAGCTGCTGGTTTCTTGGTAGTGGCAGCCTTTTTTCCCACTGCAGGCTTTTTTGGCTTCTTTTCACCAAGAGCCTTCTTTCCTTTCTTCCCCACCACAGGCTTCTTGCCTGGAACCCCCTTCTCATCTGATTTGGCTGCTCGTGCTGCTGCTGCAGCAGCAGCTGCTGCCTTATTCATCCGGATTTTGTGCTGCAACAAATTGGGAAGAAATCATAAGAACCAAATCTTTCTAAAAACTCAACATTCGCCAGTAAAAATTATACTGCTGCTTACATTCTTGGCATGACGGAGGATGGTGTTCCGGCGCATGGTCTTTGCATATGGGTTCAGCTTCAACATGATTCTCAGGTTCTTCAATGGATTCTTCTTTAGGACTCTGCGGTGAATCTTCTTGCTATATAAAAACAGACTTGGTATAAAGTCTATCTTTACATACATTTTTAAAATAACCAATATGAGACTGGGACAAGAACTATACTACATTGTTAGTATCAAAAATTTACCGTGGTGCTCGGAGAGCTCTTTGGATCTCTGGACTTTTCAAAATTCTGCTGAGGTCTGTATTTAGCATCTTGTGCATAGGAAGGCTAAAGAAACAACATGAAAATGTTGACAATGGAAACTCAATTCTAGTTTTTCATAAAATTACTAAAGAACATTAACCCCAACAAAAGAAATGATTTAAAGTGCCCAGAATTCAAACAAATCCCACACTACATCATCACATCTCAGAATTTCTATCTTACCACTTCCGTTTTTTGCACAGTTTCAGTGGCAACAAAACAAAATCCATTACATAGAACACATGCACACCAATCCTGCATTTAAGTAAACATGCATGAATACAATCACTCACTTGTAGTTACTCTTGAGGGAAGCAGCTTTCCGCCAAGTGCCATACAGATCATCTAACTTGCGAAAAGCACTTTCAGTCCAAATGCAGAAACGTCCCACATGGCCACCAGGAGCAAGTTTCAGAATGTTCAATTTGCTTACATTAAGCAAAGTAATTCCTTTTAAAGAGAAATGATTATTAGGGAGCCTGTATTTCACATGTGAAGCACAAATCATCTGTATGTGCTGCAGGAGGCACCTGTGAACTTGTTAATTATGCAATTTCAACCAACAATGGGGCATTCACATTCAGCTAAGAATCAGAAGTTCCACAAAATCATGTGTTTCAGAAACACGGACCATAAGGTGGAATCTCATCATAATAAAAGCTGAGTGAGCTTTCAACAATATGGCTAATCAAATTACACAAATAAAATGAGAATTACCGGGAATGTTTCTGAAGGCCTTGATAATACCATTGTCCTCATTATAGATGATACAGGGTCCCCTGCGCTGGATACGACGCCGGTTTCTCATTTTGCCCTTGCCAGCTCTCATCCTCTGGGAGGCGTAGACCTGCAAAGTGAGGGTTTGTATGGATTAGCTAGTCATAGTTTTAAAAAGCCCTGCTTTCTTCTTATCTGTTGCTAGTTATACTGTCCATTTTCCCCAAGTTTAACAAATCTGTAAAGACAAAAAGACAACCAAAGGGCTAGTGTACTAATAAAACCTACTTTTTTGATATCATTCCAAGCCTTAAGTTTCTTAAGAAGCAGAACAGCCTCCTTGGTCTTCTTATAACCTTCAACTTTATCTTCAACCACCAAAGGGAGTTCAGGAACTTCCTCAATACGATGACCTGACAAAGCGAATACCAACTTGGTTAATCCCTGAGCCTTTTGAAAAATTGAGAAACATTTCATAAAATAAAGCATAGCAAAATGGTTAACAATCTGCCAAATCAGAACTTCCACAAATATCATGTGTTTCAGAAACACGGACCAATGAAGTGGACTCTCATCATTTTGACAGTTAAAGAATAGGCAATATAATCAAGTGCAAAGTTTGCTAGGTTTATGAAATCACTGGATTTGAATTAGCTCCCCAATTGGATGGCACTTTACTAAACACTGACTTGGTAGGCTTACTTGCTATTTATACCTAGTACATCTTAAAGGGAAATCATTAGGTGTCCCGAGATAAATCGAATTTACTACAAGCTAATATGAATGAATGAATGATCAGGTGAAGAGGAAGAACAAATTGTTATTAGGCAGACAACAAATTACAAACCTTTAGACATAACCAGTGCTGGTAGGGCCGAGGCAGCCAGGGCAGAGCAGATGGCATATCGCTTCTGTGTTGTGTTTACTCTTCGGTGCCAACGGCGCCAGGTTTTGGTTGGTGCAAACATGCGGCCCCCACGACACATCTATTTTCCCAGTTAAGAATCACGTATCTCAAATTTTAATAATTAAAAATGGTTTTGACTTGCTCAGTAAAAATTTTCGTCATTCTTCTGTACCAGCTTACTGACAGCAGGCAACTGTCACTGAGAACAGAGTAAGACGCAAATTACGACATCATTGCAAGGAAAACTTTCTAAGGTAAAAATCTACGCCACAAAACTCTCTATGGCAATGTTTAACCAGAACACTATTACAATCCTGGAAACAAAACATATAAATTAGGCAAATACCAAATATTTTGATTTGCCAGGTCCAGTCTGCTAAATTTCGTAAGCTAACTAGTCTAAGCAGTGACACAAAGGATACGTTTCCAAAAGCACCCTGGCCAGAACGGTGAGTCCCACCACCTCGAACTCTGGGAATTCGGGCCACAGCTCTGCCAGTACCCCAAGACTCAGCACTAGTCTGATGACCTGAAATTAGGAAAAAAAGTAGTTTAGTCATCTAATCACAGAAATAACTCTATGACCACTACACAGGGTAGGAACAGCCATCAGAACATCCAGAACAATCATATGGTTCAGAAACACGGACCAAAGGAGTGGAATTTCATCACTGCTGTTAAGCAGTCTTAAACATCAACTCGTGAAAAGACTTAAATCTGTACCTGCTAGTTCACTGACAGCATAGGGTTGCCTGTTATTTTTGCGCAAGTTGGTATGAACAAAGTTGACAATATCTGGTCGAATGGGAGCCTTGAATACAGCAGGCAAGGTGACATTTTTGCCAGATGACTCCCCCTTTTCGGAGTACACAGATATCAATGGACGAGCACACGCCTGGGGAAATAAAGAAAAATTACTCATGTTAACAAACACCAACAATGCCAACATACATGGTAGAGGAGACTAGTTTGGTGAGGCAAAGCTGAAACAAAAAATAAGTTAGAAGACATCACCATATGTTTTAAGCTGTATACTAAGACATGAAAGACACTTAGATAAACCTTGTTTGTCCACATAATTTTCAAAGAAAAAAATTTACCATTAAGCTTTCAGGTCTTATAGAGCAAAACTCACAATCAAGCCCCTACTATAAGGTTGAAGTTGCTATTTCATGCCATGCCACCATCTAAACTTTCACTCCAAATATCAACAAGTACCATTTACCAGAGCTGCAATTTTCCATCCTTGCCCTCTTTAGCCCTTCTAAAACTCAGTAACAACCAGTAGTCATGTTACTTTTGGCTCAACCTTCTCCAAAGACCTGCCACCTGAAATATAACCAACCGAAGTCCTAAAGGGTCCTATGCTTTCACCTCCCCACACTCACACCATACCAAGTCTTCATTTAAGATCCCCTTTTAGCACATTCACCTCCCCAGACCGCCTTCTCTCATCACAGCTGCAGGACCTACTGCGGCCTTCCATTCCCGTCCGCAGCACTCACTGCAGTAGCACTACTGCAATTCAATTCCAAAGCAAGCATCACCAGAGTACATTTTATTTTTTGTCTCTCTCTTTCACGAGATTCCCTAAGGAACGGAAGACTAAATAAAACAATGTAACTTTTACGGAAATGCCGTACCTGTAACGTTACCTATACTATGAACCGGCTCGTTCAAAGATTTAGGGGACACCAATACCAACTTTTAGAAAAGCGATCTTAAGCCGAAAATGAACAAGCATTCGGAAAAAAAAAGAATCAAGTTTTTGATTTAACAGAAATTCTCAATATGGAAACATTCCTTACTAGCACATGGAAACACAAGGCCCGAAACTGACTTTCACTCCGGGAAAAGGTTTGGTATTAGGCCCCAAAAGTTCCCAATTCTTGATAGAACCCACGCGATGGAAGACTCGTGGTAAATTCAATCCCAAGCCCGTCTAGGAGACCAAGAACGATCTGGCGTCTCCTGCGTAGCTTCCACACGCACCCGGCAAGGGGCCGCCCACGTTGCCTCTAAAATGGCTGCCATATACTTGTGCTACCCAGCGCCCCGCCACATACGGACGCCTTCGATGCTCATCCCCTTTTTCTCGCTGTCCTGAAGAATCCCCAGTCCCCGGAACCCGAACCCACTCCCGCCCGGCCCCGATTCGGCGAACCGTCCAGCGGAGAGAACTTCCACTCACCATGACGGGGAGAGGAGAGGGGCACGCTCCTCTCCGCCCGGCAGCTCTCACAGGAAAAGGAAGTGCTTAGCACTGCCGTTCTATATGTAACCTTCAACTCAGCCTCATGCTGCTCCGCCTCAGGACCAACCAAGAGACGAAAAAGAACGCTCTTTAACACTCAAAAAAATTAAAATAACACATTGTTCCTACACAGGTGCTAAATTTTTGACCTTATTGACTCCAAAGCCTACAACAGTGCTTAGAGACGAGGGACTCATTTTGGCGGAGTAATCCACAGAGAGGCGTGCCAACTATCGCGAGATGTGGAGTTCACAGCAATCGTGGCAGCTTATTTAAACTTATTCTTAGGGGAATGGGAAAGCATTGCGACAGGAAAAACTGTCATGTACCCTAAAAACAGAAGTTTGACTTTGTGGACAAACGGGACCTGGGCGGCGGGGGTATGTGTGAGGGGGTGGGGGTGGGGTTGGTAAAAGTAGTCCGGCAAAGGTCATGACCCCGGACGTCAGCGTCCGGCGCGCAGTTCAGTTTGGCGGTTTAGGCTCTGCAGTCAGACCTGGGCGGGATGTGGTCGCAGTTGAATGAAGCGGCTGAGGAGTTTTACGCTCGACTCCTGCAGTGAGTTATAACCCTTGTTGTTGGCTAGGGAATGCGGGCAGCTCGTCTCCCTTGGAAAATCTTGGTCCTCGCCAGTTTGGGGGATAAGTCTGTTCACAGCAGTGCGTCACCTGTCCATTGAAGTCACCTTTCCTGGGGATCTGGCTTTGGAGAGTGGGCTGTAGTGTGAGGATGCCTGTGCGGGGCCTTGCGTGCTGTCTTTTTTAAGAGGCGTTATCAGTCGAAAAAGGTGACAGGTGAAAAGTGACAAAGTTTTGCAACAGGCTCTTTGTTCGTTCTGATAGCGGGCACAAGTGGCCATTGGCCAGAGGGACCTCCCAGGTATGAAAAACTGGATGCTGTCGTTCCTTCACCTATTTAAAGCCTTGCCAGTATGAAATGTATTGTTAAGAGTCTATTCAAGGTAAAGTGAGCTGCAGTTGCTGCGATGATGTTGATAGTGTGCAGATTTTTAAAAGCACCTCTGTGTCATTGTGGCCTAAGACTTCATTTTATACTCATAGTGAAGTGTTAGTTCTGAAAGGGGGGTTCTTAATCTTTGCACCCAACATAAAAATATAATTCAGTGCTTCTCAAATTTGACCGTGCATCGGAATTACCTGGAGGGTTGTCAAAACGCAGATTGCTGGGCCCCATCTCCAGGGTTTCTGATTTAGTTGGTCTGGGTGGGGCCAAAGAATTTGCCTTTCTAACTGTTCCAGGTGAAACACATGCTGCTGGCTTGACGCCACACTTTGAGAATCAGTGATGTGCTCTAACCCACGATTTTGTAAATACCATGATTTTTCATTATTGCTTTTATCGGATTAAGAAAGTGATAGTGCTTGTGAACACCGTAGGAAGCAGTAGCTTTTTTTCAGCTGACAAGGGCCGGGGTAGTTTACAGTATGGGTGCTTATTGACCGGGTCTCCCGTTTTTGACTGCTGTGTAAGTTCTTTCATTCTGTCACTGTTTATGTTTATTAAACCAGTCCCCTGTTGGTACATCTTTATTTAAACCCTTCTATTTCCCACTTATGTTATTTATCTTTTTCTTCACTTGTAAGCACCAAAGTTGTCTGTCTTGTTTTGATTCCCACACAGTGCTTGCTATTCAGTTACTGGCAGTTTCCACTTGAGACCTCAAACTCATTATCTCCCAAACTAAATTCTTCCCCTGCAACCTAACATTCTATTCTGAGTTCCCTGTCTGAAGTGAGTTCCAAATCCAGAGCTCTCACTTCCTTCTCTGTTCTACCCTCCCGCACCCCCTTTCCTTTTAGTCAGTCAGTAAGCTGTTTTTCAGTCTACCCAACTGCTTTTCTTAAGGCTGTTATCACTTCTCAGAAGTTCTGCTAGTTATTCACAGCTCTGTTCCTGGCTTTCAGGTTTATACCTTCCACATTACTGTCAGATCTTCCCATTAAAATCTGCTAGTGAGTTCCTTTTGGCTTTCAGGATCACCTTCAGATCCTCTAACAAAATCTCTTCTGTTATGTCACCATAACACCCTGCATACCTTTGTTGGAACACTCGTGCATAAACCTGTGTTGTAATGGTTGGTGTGCTTGTCATACTCTTCAAGACTGTGATCCAGGGTCTATGCTCTTGTTTTATTTTCTGGACAGTGAGTGCCTGCCTGTAACACACATGTTTGGGAAATGATTGTTAAATGATTGACATCCCTCAGATACACATAATAAACGAATGTTTTGAAGACTAAGTCTCGGTCTACCCAAAATGACAAAAGTGAATTAATCACAGCCCTAGCTCTCCCATTTCTCTTTCAATAAGTGATATCCTGAAATAATTTTAATGGATTCCTTAAAGATTCTGATGGGTTTTTTTTTTTCAGAGTGTAGATCAGACTGAAAGACGTTTTATTAATAGTATGTTAATGGTTTATAGTTTACTTACTTTCAGATCACTATTTTAAAATTACTAAGTAATAGCCTCAAATTTAGTAATTATATTTGTATTTCTAACATCAGATTTACTAATTTTTCATAACAGCTCATAAAAATACCAGGAGAGTAGTGTTTCTGTTTTGGCCATAAAAATCTAAAACCTAGGAATGTTCTTCACTGATTCAGTAGCAGATCAGAAGAAGCCAGTTATTTTTACTTCCCAACAGTCACGGGGTAAATTATGTTTTAATATTATCTAGTGATGTGTTTGAAAAGATATGAGTAGATGTCCTGCTGTTTCTTAGGAGCAGTTAATCCAATTGTGGGTAGCAGTCTGTTAATCTCTACCATACCTCTTTTGTCTTATTTCTTCTTAACCTAATATGCTTTTTCTATTTTGCTTTGTTTTTTCCTTTATCCCAAATAAGTCTTAAGGTTGCCGTGTATGCTCTGTGTTTGCTTTTCTCACTGGTGTTATGCAGAGATAAAATGGTGACTTATTTGTGCATTTAAATGACAGAATGCTCTAACTCCATTTTTCACTTGTTCTGCATTTCAGGGAATTTGATGAAGAAAAGAAAGGAATCTATAAAGACCCTTTTATCTATGAGGTATTTATAGTTTGTGTGGTTTTTAAATATAACTCAAGAAGCCTAAAGTTATGAATTTTTTAAAACTAGGTTTATTGAAGTTAATTTACATAGAATAAAAAGTAACTTTTCTAGAATACAGTTCAGTAAGTTTTATTCAGTAAGTAAAAATTAATTTAGTTGCATAAATCATCCCTATACTCAAGATATGGAACATTTTATCACCTCAAAAAAATCTCATGTTCCTTTATAGTCAACACTTTCCCCTACTCTCAGTTCCTGGCAACCACCAATTTGTTTTTTATTTTCTGTCTTGCCCTTTCTAGAATGTCATATAAAATCTACATTATGTAACTTTTTGGGTCTGGTTTCAGTCAAAAGTGTAATGCATTTGAGTTTCACCCATGTTGTGTGATCAGTAATTCATTTTTTTTTTTTATTTCTGAAAGTATTCCAGTTTTTGGATGTCCTACATTTTGGATATCCATTCACCAGTTGATGGACACTTGGATTTTTACCACACCTTGAATAATATTGCTATAAACATTCATGGATTTATTGAGCATCTAATAGATGCCAAGTGTTCTGTATGTAAACTCCCCATAGTTGGGAAGATAAACCCTCTATGATAAACATAAGATAATCATAAAATAACTAGCAAAATAAAACATGGAGCTTCCCTATGACCCAGCAATCCCACTCCTAGGTGTCTACCCAAAAGACACAAAAACACTGATTGAAAAAGATACTTGTACCCCCATGTTTATTGCTGCTTTATTTGCAATTGGAAAAACATGGAAGCAGCCCAAATGCCCAAAGGTAGATGACTGGATTAGAAAGATGTGGTACATATATACAATGGAATATTACTCAGCAACCAAAAAAGAGAAACACATGTCTTTTGCAGCAACTTGGATGGAGTTGGAAAAGATCATGCTTAGTGAGATAAGCCAGAAAGAGAAAGAAAAATACCGGATGGTTTCACTCATAGCAGGAGTATAATGGACTAGGCGAGAAAATAACAAAAATAATGAACAACCATATACCAGAGACATTCTGTGGGGGTGGAGTGGGGAATGGGATCAAAAACGGGGAGGGGAAATGCACGGGACTATGGTGGTGACACAGGGGTGATTTGGTGATGGGAAACCCGTGGGGATTACAATGGAGATGGAAAAAAAAATGTGCAAAATGATGTAAAAATAAACTTTTTAATAAAAAAAAACTTCCACTTTAAAAAAAAAATAAATAACTAGCAAAATAAAATTGTATACTAAAAGATAAGCTGGGAGAACAGTTATAAGTGATGAAGATTAGTACTTGTATATATGAAATACAGAAAGTTATTAAAAATCAGTACGAAAAAGACAAACAATAGAAAAGGCAAAGGATTAAAAAAAAATACAAATAAAAGTTGTTTCTCAGCCCTCCCTGGTGGCGCAGTGGGTTAAAGTGCAGCACTAAGAAGCCACATCACCATCAGTTCAAACCCCCACCCCCAGGTGACCCACGTGCGTGCAGCAGACCTCTCCTGACCCCGCGTGCTGCTCCCCTCAGCAGTGTACTTCAATGATCTGCCTGTTCTGCTCCCCACTCTGTCTCTGGTGAAGCCTTTCACCAACCCTGCACCTCTGGCTTATACCCATGAATTAAAAAAAAAGTTGTTTCTCACTATTTGAATTTTTTCTAACCAAACTCAGAATCTAGGTAGATCATAATAAATTTGGATAATGATTTGCCTATCTGAATTCTTGTCTCTTAATAACCCATATTCATGTCCTGGGGCTGTTTAACAGTATCACGCACTGGTATGCTTAAACTTTGAGAAGTTAGTTCTTTCCTACTTTGGACACTGAAGTCAGGATGAGCTAGGCTTCCACTGAACGCTCTAGGAAAGAATTCTTCTTTGTCGTCTCCCAGTTTCTCATTGTTCACAGCAGTCCTTGCTGTTTATTAGCTTGTGGAGGAGATATGTAACTCTAATCTAATGACTCTCCTTGTGTGTCTATGTCTGTTCTTTAAGTTTCTAATATGTATCATTTGTCATTACAGAAAATAATTTGAAACTACTCACACCTCTAAATAATGATGGAATTAGTTTCATGATACTAGAGCCATTGTACTAGATAGCCAAAGAATACTTAATAGCATGGAAAGAAGTTCATGATATAAAACTATCAGAAATTTTTTTATGAAGCAAAATTCTATATAATTTCCTAAATAATAAATACATTTCAATTTAAGTAGATTTAATGCCTAGGAAAAGATCTGGCATGTAAGATATATGCCAGCCAGATTTACAACAATGATTATCCTAGGTAACAAAATTAAAGGTGAGAATTAAAAAAACTCTTCTTTCAGACTTTCTGCAATAAATATGCAGTTCCTAAGGGTTGATATTAAAGTTCTAACTTCATGGTACAATTAGAAGAAATGATAATTAGTAAAGTGCTAATTTATGGTATATAAAAAGATACAGCATGACTATAGACAGAAAATGTCAGTGTGATCCTAATAGAAGATTTTACAAGGCAGTGTACACTTTAGGTTAGTCTTGAAATTGAAGCATGTGTAGATACAAGATATAGGAGGTATATTTTTGAACGTGCAAATCAACATGAGCAAAGAATACACAAAATCTCTTAAAACGTAGCTTGTTTGAATGCCTTTCTCTAGTTATTTGCATAGAGCTGTTTTTTAAGTGTTTGTACAGAGATCTATGTCTGCATGTATAACATTGTTTGACATTACCTTTATTGAATAGGCTGATGTCCAAGTACAGTTGCTCAGCAAAGGCCAGCCAAATCCTTTGAAAAATATTCTCGATGAAAATGACATAGTATTTATTGTGGAAAAAGTGGTAAGTAGTGCTTGGGTTTTGTGGTTATTTAGTCCCTAATAGCCAAACTTGGCTTTTGGGGAATAATCTCAAATGTACATATTTTAATTATGGTAACTATTTTGAACAATTTTGGTGACTTTTGGGTTTATTGAGTGCTGATCATAAATTATTCAGTTACTTTAGGGCCAGGACCCATTCCTTAGGTTACATTGTTTTCTGAAATAGGTAGGGATATAAGTGGGCACTTTTTTTTTTAAGATTTATTTATTTATTCATACAGAACTGGGTACAGGCCAGAGATGTGGAGGGTGAGAAGATTCACTGGAAACAGTGGGGAGCAGAACAGGTAGATCGACAAAGTACATTGCTGAAGGGAGCAGCGGGTGGGTCAGGAAAGATCTGCTGCGCCATATGGGTCAGCTTCCTGGTGGCTTCGGAGCTTCATTATGTGGTGCTTTAACCCGTTGCACCACTGGAAAGAGCCCTCACTCTTACTATGATAGCTGAATAGGCAGCTCTTTATTTTATATATACAAATGCAAAGACTCCATACTGAGAAGGGGAGCTATTTTATTTGTCTTTCAATGTTAATAAAAACATTACTACTGCTTATCTATTGTATGCAGATATTTGGAAAATAGTTATAGGTGAATTATGTGGTTGAATGTAGATTTTTGTATGTGAAATAGGGGAAATACATGTAGAACAAAAGGTAGAAAAATTAAGATGGGCAGGTGAAGATGAGATATCTTTGGGGAAAAAAATAAGTGGTACAGTCACTAGCTGCTGCAGCATGAGTTATCCCAGCCAGCGGGGCTGACTCACATGGCACAGCATGCCACTTCTGTTCTGCCCCTCAGCACTGTATTTTAGTAGACCCATGTGTTTTGCTTCCCACTTTATATCTGGTGAATCCTATCACCCACTCCACCTCTGGCCTATACCGCAGATCATGTATGCATAAGTAAATAAAAATATTTTTATAAAAAGGTAAGCAGAGCGGATTTATAGAAATGTGTATTAGAATACTAGTGAGAATGCAGCTTGGAATTGCAGAGTTATCTGGAATGCAATGAGGCCCTGGCCCTGGTATTTTTGAATGGAAAACATAATTAAGATACAAAGATTAATAGAACACAAAGCTGGAAGCTTTGATAATTGAATACTGAAGAATAAACAGAGGGGCAAAAAATTGACATTTCTTGATTATCTCTAATTTTAGAAACGGTTCCAAAAGTCAGATCTAGAAAGGGAGTGAAATTTGGAATCTGGTGAAAGATTGAGGAAATATTTGTGTCTGAGGCCCATTAAATGATTAGAGTATTTACTGCCAGAAAACTTAGTGGAGGGCTCTCTCTGGTGGCGCAACAGTTTAGGACGCAGCACTGCAAGCTAGCCGCAGCAGCTTCAGTGCGAGTTCAATCCCCAGCCCTGGAGGTGACCCACATGGCATGGCAGCCCTCTCCTGACTCTCTGCTGCTCCCCTCAGCAGTGTTCTTCCTCGATCTTCCTGTTCTGCTCCACATTCTGTCTCTGGTGAAGCCTCTCACCACCCCTGCACCTGGCTTATACCCCAGTTCTGTATGCATAAATAAATAAATCTTTAAAACTTGGTGGAGAAGAAATTGAGTTCTGAGTTTAGATTACTTCAATTCAGATGTTGGCTTTGCCACTTAATCAAAACTCTGACTCTAGTCAGGTTATTTAGCCATGAGTTAGAAATAATGACATAGAAAGAACTTGTCTAGGGCTCTCTTGGTGGCGCAGTGGGCTAAAGTGAAGCACTGCAAGCAGGCTGCAGCCACTTCAGTGTGAGTTCGATCCCCAGCCCCAGAGGTGATCCACATGCATGGCACAGCAGACTTCTCTTATCTCACCTGCTGCTCCCTTCAGCAGTGTACTTTGACATTCTGCCTTTTCTGCTCCCCACTCGGTCTCTAGTGAATCTTCTCACTGCCCCTGCACCTCTGGCCTGTACCCGAGTTCTAGATCCATAAATAAATAAATCTTTTTCTTAAAAGGAACTTGTTTAAATAACACATTTATTTAGTATAAATAATAGTAACACTGTCTACCTCCGTTATAATATTTTAACAGGGTAAATAATAGTATCTAAGGGATTTTACATAGAAAAAACTTAGAATAGTTGCTGTAACACTATAATGCTTTAAGAAGTATTAACTGCTAAGCCAAGCTGTGGCCACCTCTGTGTGAATTCGATCCCCGCCTGGGAGGTAATCCACATGACACAGCAGACTTCTCCTGTCTCGCCTGCTGCTCCCCTCAGCAGTGTTCTTTGTCGATCTGCCTGTTCTGTTCCCTACTCTGTTTCTGGTGAATCCTCTTGCTGTCCCTGCACTGCTGGTCTGTACCCCGTTTCTGTATGTATAAATAAAATCTTTTAAAAAAAGAAAAGTATTAACTCTTAAAATTACTGTTACTGGCCAGACAGTTATTTAACTACTTTGTAACATAACACATGGACATGGAACCTTGTAACAAAAACTGATAGCTCTAAGAGTGATAGAGATTTAAGACATAAGAGGCTGTAGAGCTATGTTCATAGCCTGTAAGGAAACTTTGAGTTCAGGGAGTAGAAAAATCTGACAACACCTGAGAGTATCCCCTGGTTTTCCCTTGGTATTTTAGCTTTAGCTCACCATTTTGTGCATATTGGGGGTATTTCTTTTTCTTAAGATGCTTCCTTTATCAATAGTAATATACACTAGTATCTTTTTGAAGGACAGTAGAATGCTTCCTGTGGCACAATTTGTTGGCATCAGACTGGTTTATAGTTCAGATTCTTGCCATACTTCAGTCATTTGGGCTTAAGGATTGAGAAATCAGGACATTAAGGTCTCACATAGTGAACAGTTGACTATCTTAAGTGCTCCTTTATCTGGTTAAATAATTTAAAAACATTTTGAAAGCCATTAGAAAAAGAAGAAGCAAGTCATATTGAAGAACTACAATCTGAAGAAACTGCTGTTTCTGATTTCTCTACTGGTGAGCATGCTGGACCACTTCCTTTACCAGTTGGGAGAGCAAGGTATGTTTTTTTTGGCATATGGGTAAGAGGAGGGGTAGTGATGGCAGGTGGGGTTTAAATCGAAGTATTCTTATAAACATTGGGAAAGATATGTAAATAGCCAAATACTTTCCTCCTCCCAGATGTGTGTACCCAACTCTCTAAAAATAGCTTTACCTGAATGTCCCATAGGTATCCAAACATGACCTGGAGGCTGTGGTGATAATCTTCCTTCTCTTTACTTTCCTGTATCACTTCTTGGTACTGCATCTTGTTTTCCTTATGTCTAACCTGGCTCCCCTCCAGTCTTTCTTCCTCACTGCTGCCAGAGTGATCTTTATAAAATGAAAGCCTGATTATGATGCCTTCCTGTTTAAAAACATTCATTAGTTCTCATTCCCTCCTGATAAACTACAGATTCCTTATGAGTAATACATAGGAGAATTTTTGTCTACTCTAGTGGTACCATGTGCAATGGTACGTTTTGGTAGTTATAGGGACTAAGGGGAGCTGTTGGCTTGGTCCATAGATGTAACAGTTCTGCACTATTTAGGGTTCTCTTGCACTATGAGGAATTACCCCACCTCAGTACCTGTATTGCCCCCAGTTAAGATCCTGGCTGTCGCTGTCTTTGCCTTCACTTCCTGCCTGTCACTCTGCTGCTTGCTAATGCATTTCCCTCTGTCTTGTTTTCCCCACTGCCCCCTCTGCCACCTCCAAAACCAATAAATTCTTGCTATCGAGTAGTTCTAGATGATATGATTATATAAATAACATTAGAGAATCTAAATAACATTAGAGAATCATGACTATAATAACTTCACAAAGTGACTATTCTTCATGATGGTTTTGTTTGCTAAGTAGAAGCTTTAAACTTTTTTTTATGTACTTACATGAATCAGTTTTCTTGATTTTAAGTTATATTTGGCTTTTTTTCTTTTCTCTACAATGTAAGTATTATTTTTAAAATATTTTCTCCAGCTAGTGTTTGTTTGGATTGATCTGTATGCTTATCACTTGTTTTGTTCGCAATTTCTTATTGCATACAGACCTTCCTTCTGGGATTATTGTATTTCCCTATTGAAATACAGCCCCTTAGGAATTCCTTTCATGAACATCTGTTGGGAATAAATTTAGTTTTACATGGCTTTGGAAAAAAAAAAATGTAAGCCACATTTTGGGATAACTAATTTTGATAGTTTCAAACTTATAGAAAAGTTACTTGAAAAGTACAAGAACTTTTGTATATCCTTAAACCAGATTCCCAATTGTTGACATTTACTGAGTCTGTTTTGTTGTTCTCTTACTTTCCCTCCACCTCCTCCCTGTTGCCCCAAACATGTATAATAAATGCATATTTCACACATTTTTTAAAATGAAACATTGACAGTGTTTTCTCTTATATAGCCATAGAACAGTGATCAAAATCTGGAAATTTAATGCTGTTGCAATACTATTATTTAATCCCCATCCCATATTCAAGTTTCCTTCAGTATCCCTACTGACTAAAGCATCTTTTTTTATGTGTTTTTGACTCCTGCTTCTTTCTCCTTCCCACCCTCCAGCTTTATTGAGATATAGTCGACATGTCCTCCTCATTTCTTTAGCTTAATCGCAAAACCCACTTCCACTCCCATAGGGCTTCTACCCTCACCCTGTTCTCCCAACTTATAGTAGCTGTGATCCTTTCATAATCTTGACTTTTTTAGTGAATGTATCTTCATCTATCTGATGTCCTCTCTCCTATCTCTCTACTTGGTAAAATATATGTGCATTTTGTCACATAATTTCCAGGGTTTTTTTCTAGGTAGTATTTTATATCTTTGGGAAAGAAAACTCTTGATCAACAGTCTCTCCCTAGAATTTATTCTTTCTTGTTTTCAGACAGTTAATTGGACTTTACACCATTGCTCACAATCCTAATATGACCCATTTGAAGATTAATCAGCCAATTACTGCCCTTCCTCCCCTTTGGATAAGGTGTGATGGTTCAGATCCTGAAGATACATGTTGGCTAGGAGCTGAACTTATTACAACAAATAACACCATTAAAGGAATTGTCTTGTATGTGGTCAGCTGTAAAGGTAAGAGCTTGCTCTTTTATGAATATGTGTGTTTGTTTTTAATGGATTTTACTGAAAATTGACTTTTTTTTTTTTAAGATTTATTTACTCATTCATACAGAATCAGGGTATAAGCCAGAAGTGCAGGGGTGGTGAGAGGCTTCACCAGAGACAGAGTGGGGAGCAGAACAGGCAGATCGAGGAAGTACACTGCTGAGGGGAGCAGCGGGCGGGTCAGGAGAGGTCTGCCATGCCATGTGGATCACCTTTGGGGCGAGGACCAAACTTAACAGTGAAGCGGCTGCGGCTGGATTGTGGTGCTGCATCCTAACCCATTGCACCATCAGGGAAGACCCCCGAAAATTAGCAGTTTTTAAGGGAGCAGTACATACAGTAGAAATTGTATTAGCTAGTGTGAATCTATTTTAGTGAGTTACTTTTAGCATATAGGAGATATTCTGGAATCACCAGAATCAGACTTGCAAAAGTCTAGAGAGGAGTTTATGGCTCTTGCATTTGGGTATTTGATTTATATTTGTGTGATTTTGGTAATTTTCTGGAGGATAAAACATTGAATCTAAAGAGGTATTTCACACTTCCACAAACATTTCATTTAAATTGTGATATCCTTTGCATTTTAGGAATTGTACCTTTAATTTTTTTTCCTTTCATGTTCTGTAGCTGATAAAAATTATTCTGTAAATCTTGAAGACTTAAAAAATTCACACAAGATTAGGCATCACTCATCTACTGTAAGTGTTTCTCTTTTACTCATATCATTTTCTTTACATTTTTATCAGCCTTCTAGTCAAAAAGATATTTTCATTCTAAATGTGATTAAGTATTTTTCTGTAATATTACAATCTTTGTATTTTCACATCAGCTAGTGACTAAAAAGGTATTCATTTTTCCTTTCAGTGAATCCTTCTGATTAAAAATAATTGTCTAATTTTCTATGGGATAAAATTATAGTACTTTTTTTCTTTTGTGAAAATAAGCAAAAACAGTTCTGGTAAGAAGCCTATGGCTTGTGAAAGCATAGTGATGGTCCACTGGTGCTCTCCTCAGGTAACAACCAGGGGCTTTGCTCAATATGAGCTCTTTAAGTCCACTGCCTTGGATGAGACTGTCGCCACATCACAGACTGTGATCACTTTGGATATTGCCTGGAGTGCTGTGGATGAGATTCTTCAAGTTCCTCCACTCTCTTCAACTGCAACTCTGGTAGGAGCCAAACCTATTTTCTGTTGAATTTATCCAATATAGGTTTACTTTTAACTTGCTAATTGCTGGTGCTGTGGGCTTCCAGCCCCAGCCCTTGCTGGATAGTGCTAAAGATCAGAGACTGATCTACCTGATGTATCAATGGCCCACAGCACTGCAATTACATAACTTAAGAAATTTCTAGTGGTTAATAAAGTCTCGAGTTAGAACTCAGTTAAAAATCTCAGTGACTTGTCTCTGCTGTTCTTAAAAGAGTGCAGATATTGGCACCCTTCAGAATCCTTAATACCATAAACCCTTTCACCCTCTATTTACATTTCTGTGACTCTTTTCAGAAATTAATCAGAATTGCAAAAAATATATATTTAAAAAGTATTCAATGTAGTGAAGTGATATAGATATGTTTTCAAAATAGTAAAACTAAATCCTGAGTAATCTTTAGGGAAATGATTAAAGTAGATTTCCATGATGCAGTAAATGTTCATTCTTCAAAATAATATATTAAGAGACTTTAAAAATAATAGGCAATGTTTATTAAGAGAACATAAGGGGGAAAAATTGTACTAAGAGTAGGATCTCAACTATATTTTAAAAAAATGTGTACATAGAAAAAAAATGTGTACATAGAAACCTGTATACTGTTAATAAAGATTTCCTCAGCATAATTATGGGTGATTACATTCTTAATGCTTTTTTTTCCCCGAAATAAGAATTTACATACACAGGCATTTACTTTATTCTTTCACCTTCACTATTTTCTTTCTTTTTTTCTTTAAGATCTTAGGGTTGTCAAACTTTGACCTCTAGGTTGGACAATATACTATTGATTTAGATAAGAATCTAATAAACATTTACTATTTATTAGGTACTTTATTTTTAGTGTGTGGTGATGCTAAGTGTGTTGTTGAGTCTTAACATATTTCTTAACGTATATATTTTAACATATATTAACTTGTCCTCTTGGAAATTCAATGGGAAGGGGCAGGAGCTCTTGCAAGAAAGGCAGCTGTTCCACGTTTGTACAGTTGTGATATAGAAAGAGGATGTGGTCACTGATTTAATATGGGCAGGATCTAGGCGTTTCATGAAATAATTTTTTTTAATGTATGGATAGCTTAAAATGCAAATAACTATGACCCGTATGTTGAGAAGCTAGGATTACCACTGAAAACTGACTTTAAGAAATTTTTTTAGAATATTAAAGTGGAATCAGGAGAGCCCAGAGGTCCTTTGAGTCATCTTCACAGAGAACTAAAATTTCTTCTTGTGAGTATCCTTCCAAAATTTGTAACTTAGATTAAATTTTAAGATTTCATAAAAGTTTAGCTATTTAGTGTTGTGTTCTTTGAAATTTGTCCCAGTTGTATATTCATTAGGTACTCATGGCAATTTGAGCATTTTAGTTTAATTATGTAGGAGTTACCCTTAAAATTAAAGGGGATACTAGTTAGATAATAGCTATGGTTTTCTGCCTTTTCAGCTGGGGGGTTTGATTTTTATTCATATGATGGGTCACCTTTCCAGGCAGATCAGTTGCCAGTTTACTCCTCATTAATGTATAAGACCCCACCCATGCTTCCAGTCTTATCAACAAGGGGTTCCACTGATCAGTCTCTGGGATGTAAGGTCATATATCAGTTAGTAGTGTCCCAGTCATACCTCATGATGCATGCACATTGTCCCAGGACGATCCACCTTGTAGGGTCTGGTATACTACATTCTTTTAGGCCACACAAATAATTGACAGAGCCATTCTGATCTTGTATTGGAGGGCAGAATTGCACTTTACTAAGATGATGGCCGAGAAGGTCGTTTAAGTCTAGTGACACACAATATGGTAACTATGTTTAACCTTCTGATGTACTGCCAAATTGCTGCTTTTCCAAAGTTTACATTCCTATCAGCTGTAACTGGAGTTTGCCAATCTCTCTCATGTTATCACCAACCCTTGACATGGTCTGTTGTTTTTTTTAAAGATTTATTTGTACATACAGAACTGGGGTACAGGCCAGAGGCTCAGGGGTGGCGAGAGGCTTCACCAGAGACAGAGTGGGGAGCAGAACAGGCAGATCGACGAAGTACACTGCTGAGGGGATCAGCAGGCGGGTCAGGAGAGGTCTGCCTCGCCATGTGGTCACCTCCGGGGCAGGCGGGAATCGAACTCATGGCGGAAGTGGCTTTTAGCTTCTTAGTGGTATGCTCTAACCCGCTGTGCCACCAGGGAGGGCTGGTCTGTTTTTTTTTTTTTTTTTAATTAACATCCTACTGTGAAAGAAATGGTATTTTATGGGTTTGATATACATTTTTCAGATATTATGGTTAATGACCCTAAGCATGCTTTCATGTTCTCATTGGCTCCTCTTTATTTTTTTTAGCTTGGTCACATTGTCCTATTTCCACTCTCTCTGAACTGCCCAACCTACACCATATTGATCCTTTCACACTGTGTCACTTTTTGTCTGCCTGTTGATCTGCCCAGTGTGTGTTTCTCCCACCTCTCTTGGGTGAGTTCTCTGTGACATCTTTGTCTGGGGTGATTGCTCTGATCACCCAGAATGGTATATGCGCCCTGTGTTTTGTGAACTACACACATCTCTTGTCAGGGTGTTTATCACACAAGGTAATTTACTTACAGATATTTCCTACTAGATTTGAGTTTTGTACCTTCAGCTCTAGCTTAGTATCAAACATTTTTAATATTTCCCATTATTATCATTATTATGATCACTATCATCATCATTTATTACTATTATTCTTTTACTATTACTACTACCCTGTTTGTAAAATACTGGGTACTTTTTCCTATTTTCCAAACCTTCTTTCTTGAAAGATCCTCTATCAGGCCCCTTATTGTGGGCTGCCATCATACTTCTGCCCTGACGAGTCTGTCCCCTCTCTACACTCTGACAAAAAGCTTATCATTTCTGTGGGTTCGCTAATGCCTTTGTGCGGGGACTTCAGACTCCCATTTGTAAGCTGATACCAGTTCCCATCTTGCCTCCTTCCCATTACTTCCCATTTGAGTAGTCTGGTTGCCTCAAACTCAAATGAAACTTGGAAACTCCCCCCTTTTCTCTGTAGTTCCAACATTTCTTTATGGGCTAGAAATTTTATATTTTACTTTAGTATGAACTGTTTCTACCATTTCACTTAATACCACAACTAGAAACCATCACTCCGTCTGCTAAGTATGTGGTATTAGATGTTTCGGTTATTTTGCCTGAGGTGTCTGCAACTGGTAAGTGGAAGAGGTAGCTCAAATAAACATCTGTTTGACTTGAAAGCCCATGTTTTGTTATAATCTCCCTTATAAGTAATTCATAGATTTTTAGATGTGCATATGGCGATAGTCTCTCCAAGTTCAACCCTCTGTATTTTTATAATGGATAGGACATTTTTTCTTTTATTCCATACCCTCCTCCTTCCTGCCCCCATACATGGAATAAGCTTTTTTTCTTTTCTTTTCTTTTCTTTGACCATTCAGTCCATCTTAGCTGAAGTGCTTACCAGCTTCCTCCTAGGATGCTGAAATGATCACTCATTGTTTCTCAAAGGGGACACTATTGCTATTTTGAGTAGAATCATTCTTTATGGTTTGGCACTACTGTACACATTATAAGATGTTAAATGTTTTGACCCTTCTCAAATTAATGCTCAAAGGCTCCTATACACTCCAGCCATTGTGACTCCAAATAGCATCTGCTTCTGGGAGTGGAAAGTGATACACTTCTATTGAATGTATCTACTGAGTTTAAGAAATAGCGCATGATGATCACTCATTGTACATTGTAAAGAAGAAATATATTGGGCAGGGGAGAGGAAGGAAAAAATTATTCTCTTTTCCTTAGAATTCATCCTAGGTATTTCTGACAGAAATTGTTGGTTATGTGATCATGTCATTTTTCCAGTCCAAAAAAACCAACAGTGGCTGTTTGTTATTTTTCCATGTAAAATAAAAAATAATTTCAAGTTTTAAGATCAGTTTTTTGTCTAGCTTCTGTAACCTTTAATCTTACTTTCCACTGTTCTCTAGGTGTTTTCTTTACCTTGGTTGGAATCATCCCATTTACTTCATCTGAGTCCATTCTCCTTCCCTATGTTACCAGTGGAATGGAACTGATGTTTCACATTATCTTCTTGGCTATTCCATTCTGCAGTGACCTCTTCTCCTTATTTTGGTTTAGATATTTTATGTACTGGAGTATGCATGTAAACATACACATTTGTTTTTGTATGTAAACTTATATTCAGTTTCATGTTTGGTGTTCCCTGCCTATTGCATCTGTGTTATTTGTTCTTCTTAACCAGAACTGCAAGCATCTACAGAGCAGGCTGATCAGTCTTGTATCTCTAGCATCTGCGTGCATGGCATCATAGTATAGAACAGCATTTTTGTTTCAGATAGCTGATGTAGTCCTGGCACTGTCAGGTACTAATCATGTGACCATGAGTAGGTTACTTAAATTCTCTCTCTCTCTTTTTTAAAGATTTATTTAATTTATTTATTTATGCATAAAAGAGTAGTATTGTAGGCCAGAAGTGAGAGGTGTGTGTATGTGGACTCATCTGAGACAGAGTGGGAGCAGAACGGGCAGATTGACTAAAATACACTGCTGAGGGGAGCAGCAGGCGAGACAGGAGTGGTCTGTGCCATGTGGGTCACCTCCCTGACTGGGGATGAAACTTGTACTGCAGTGGCCTGTAGCATGTTAGAGCTGAGTTTTAACCCTTTGCATCACCAGGCTTGCCCTAGTTAACCTCTTTTAACCTCAATAAAATGGGGACAGTAGTAATGGCTGCCTCATAAGATTTTTGTGAAGATTATATAACATGGTCTATATAAGACATTTAGAATAGTTCCTGGCTTATAATTAAACATACAATAAGTATTGTAATGACTGATATTATTATTAAATATATGTAATTTTTGGCTGTGTTTTCTGCTAACAAGTTTTTTGGTGTTTTGTTTGTTTTTTAACCTATCTCCCATAGGTTTTGGCTGATGGTTTGAGGACTGGTGTAACTGAATGGCTTGAGCCTCTGGAAGCAAAATCTGCTGTTGAACTTGTGTGGGAATTTCTAAACGGTGTTTGTTTTCCTAACTTGTACTTGTAGATTATTTATTTTACTTAATTAAGAACTTATTTAAATATAAGTTATCTTTTTAGACTTGGTATTCTTTTTGGATGGAATATAAAACTGAGTTCGTTATGATCAAGAGACAGCTTTCATTTTTGAATGCTAACAGTAAAGGCTAAGTAATTTTAAGATTTTTATACTTAATTTAAATTGTATATACCACAAATATATTTAAGATGGTAGAAGAAGTGGGATGGAATATAACCTTTGTATACTAATTGTGTGCCTGCCGGGGGCTTTCACTATACCACAGTTCATCCTCATATCTCTACCTGATTGGTATGTGTTATGACCTCCATTGAAGAGTTAAGGCTTTTCTAAAATCCCTGGCTATAACTTCGCTGTTCTCATTTGTCATTGAAAGATAAGATTAGAGTGATAAATTGTGAGGAGGGAAATAATTAGTATGAAAAACAGAAAAATAAAATGCAGAGGTAATAAATTTTGATCATTTTCTAGACTTAAATAAGCTGGATGGATTTGGTGATTCTGCAAAAAAAGACACAGAGGTGAGTGCTTACTGTCCATTAGAAATGTGCATTGAAATTGCTTTTAAGATTTGTTTGTAATGTTATCTTTCATGTTGTATCATCTCAAATAGGTCTAATGTATGTTTGAAGATGATTTTTTGTTGTTGGTCTTTAATGTTTACCCTGGTGATTAGTTTCCTTAACCAGTGATAATTTTTCCAAGACTTTTTTTTTAAGATTTTATTTATGCATGCAAGGTTTGAGCTGTAAGCCAGAGATTGGGTGGGGGGGTGAGAGGATTCACCAGAGAGAGTAGAGGATAGAACAGGCAGACTGACTGAAATACACTGCTGAGGGGAGCAGTGGGTGAGACAGGAGAGATCTGCTGCACCATGTGCGTTAGCTCCCTTTCTGGGGATTGAATTTGTATTGCAGTGGCTGCTGATAGCTTCATAATGCTACAACTTAAGGCCTTGTATCACCAGAAAGGCCCAAGAGTTGGTATTTTTGAAGAGAACTAAATTGCACAATTACAGAAAAATTGAAAAGAGTATGTCAGTATACCATAATGTGTTATGACTATAGTAAGGTAATATACTTTGAGATGGTATGTTAATATTATGCTATCAATGGTATTATTAAATTAAACTGAATAGCTTGTCCTTTGACAAAGTGGAAATGAAGACAGATAATTTAATGAAATGTTTTTACAGGGAAAGCTGAGTGCTTACTTTTAAGCATCACAGTTAAACAATTTTAGGAGCCCTTTTTTTTTTTAAACTGCCTTTGATTTGATGAATGAAGTTGTAGAAAATTCACTTACTTCTTTGTGTGTGTTCGTAATCCATCTTTTCTTGGAGTAGCATTTGTAAACTTACTGTCCTTAAACTACTTCACTTATTTTTTTAAATAGCTCAAATGTTCTCTGATGCTTTCCCCCCCCAGACAGTGAAACATGACAGTGTTGCTGTTGATCGTTCCATTGAGTGCCTTTTCACAGTACGGGGTGATCTCGATTTTGCTGAGCAGCTATGGTCCAAAATGAGCAGTAGTAGGTGTCTGTCATAATTTTAAAATAAATTTTTTCCTGTTACTCTTAGCTTTATATCAGGGCTTTTGAAATAATACAATGTGTATCACTATATGGAAATCTTCTAGTTTATCAAATTCATTTCTCATAGTGCACTGGGACAGTCTACTAAAGATTTTACTAACACAATACAATTTATGGAGTCTGTTATTTTAAATGTAAGACTTCCATGGTTTTTATGCTTATTCATTCATATGAACAAAGCACATAACTTAGTGAAATAATAATTACTAGAAAAAGGAAAAGCTGTTCCTACATATTTTACTGGGTTATTTTGTGGCACTGAGTTTTGTTTCTCACTTTAGAGCCTTAGTTTTTTTTTCATCTTTTAATTTCTTTTCTCCTTTCCTCAGCCATAAAATAGAGATACTTGTCTTTCATTTATCTGTGTATCCTTAAAATAAATGACATAGTTGATCTCAGAAGTACCTTGAAAATAATGGTGGATTTGTTTTCCAAGGTGTGACTTCATATCAAGACTTGGTAAAGTGCTTTACATTAGTCATCCAGAGTCTACAACGTGGTGATATACAGCCATGGGTAAGTTTAGTACTATGTGATAGGACTTTTTCTTAGCACATAGCTTGGTAGTTAAGGAACCAGACTGAATGAGGTTCATTTCCAACATTGCTGCTTACCAACTATGGATATTTGGCCAACTATGGATATTTGGGCAGATTCCTTTACTGCTTTGTTTCCCAGTTTCCTTATTTGTGAAGTGAGGGTAGCCTGAGTGTCTTCCTCTATCCTTTTAGGGTTTAGTAATTTAGTTCATTTGAAGTACCTGATATCTAGCTCATAGATAAATGCTTAGTGTTTATAAGCTATTAATACTATTATTGCTACTGTTTCTATGATTATTTTCATTTAGTACTGATGAGAGTAAAATTGGAACTCTCTAAAAAGCAATTTTGATAATGGATTGAGATCTTCGAAAAAGTAGCATGCACTTTAAGTCAGTGATTCGTCTGAGGAGTCACACTAAGCTCATACACAGAAATATGTATCAAGATGTCACATATTAAGGGGCCTCCCTGGTGGTGCACAGGGTTAAGACAAAGTACTATGAAGCTATCCACAGCCACTGCAGCATGAGTTTGACCCCCAGCCACATGGCGCGCAGACCTCTCCTGCTTTGCCCGCTCTTCCCCTCCGCGGTGTGTTTCAGTGGATCTGCCTGTTCTGCTCCCCACTCTGTCTCTGCTGATTCCACTGACCTCCCACCCACCGCCCCCGCATCTCTGGCCTACACCCCAACTCTTGCATGTATAAATAAATTTAAAAATCTAAAAAAAAAAAGATTTCACATAATAGTCATCACACCCTCAGTATAGTAACAAAAAATTATAAATGACCTAAATTTCCACTCTTTTTTTTTAAAGATTTCATTTATTTGTGTCTACTAGAACTTGGGTACAGGCCAAAGGTGTCAGGGTGCACAGACAAAGTGGTGAGCAGAACAGGCATATTGACGAAGTACTCCGGTAGGGGGAACAGTGGGTGTTACAGGTAGGATCTCCTGCTCCCTGTGGGTCTGTTCTCTGGCCGGGAATTGAACTTGTGCTGCAGTAGTTGTGGATGGCTTCATAGTGCTAAGACTTAACACCACCAGGAGGCACCCTAAGTTTCAACTTTTTTTTTTTTTAAAGATTTATTTATTCATACAGAACTGGGGTACAGGCCAGAGATGTGGAGGGTGATAGGATTCACCAGAGACAGAGCGGGGAGCAGAACAGGCAGATCTACGAAGCACACTGCTGAGGGGAGCAGTGGGTGGGTCAGGAGAGGTCTGCCGCGCCATGTGGCTACCTCTGGGGCAGGCATGGATTGAACTCATGCAGAAATGGCTTTAGCTTCTTAGTGCTGTGCTTTAACCCACTGCACCACCAGGGAGGGCCCTAAGTTTCAACTTTTAATGGGATAAGTGAGTAAATGATATAGCCACATAATAACACATGTTGTTGTTGCCAAAAATACTGACAGACAATATGGAAAAATGCTAATATTATTCAGTAAGAAGAAATGAGTGTATACTACTGTATTAAAAAAAAGGAAATAAGAGCAAATTTGGAAAGAAAGATTTGGAAACAAATTGTTAAAACAATCACCTCTGGTGTTAGGAATGCAAATGAGTTTTCCTAACTGCATTATGCATTCCTGTACTTTGGAGATATTCAATGATGAATTTGTGTTTTTAAATTAAAAACAGCTAAGTATCAACAGATTACAAAGAAGATCCCTCGTTTAGTAATTATCTTAAATAATGTAACTACTCATTCATGACTGTAAAACTTGAAGACACTTTCCTAGATTTGAACAGAGGTAGACACTCCAGAAAAAGCATGCAAACTCTGGCCCCTGATTGGGCAGTAGTGATACTAACACTTTAGCCTTGGCTAGCGAACTTTTCTCATGAGAGTTTCTGTGTTTCTGAGACATTTATAAGCATATCCTTACTGTGTGCAATGAGTGCCAACCATGTGAAATAGTTTTTATTTTTTAAAAAAGAAAGCATGCCGGCCCTCCATGGTGATACAGGGGTTAAGTCTCAGCACCATGAAGTTATCCACAGCAGTGCAACATGAGTTTGATCCCTGGTCAGGGAGGTGACCCACACGGCACAGCGGATCTCTCCTGTCTCGCCTGCTTCTCCCCTCACCAGTGTATTTCAGTAGATCTGCCTGTTCTGCTCCCTGTCTCTGGTGAATCCTTTCACCCTTCCCCACACCTCTGACCTACACCCCAGCTCTTATATGCATAAACAAATAAATCTTTAAAAGAAAAATGTATCACTCAGCCTTACTCTGAGACTTGGCTGTAAAATATCCTGGCATTTTCTGAGGGTACAAGAAAAGCACTCATCCCTCCTCAAGAAGTCTGTCTTTTGTGGCCTATAAACAGGGCTTACAGCTCAGGTGCCACGTGGCATTCCCCTCCTGTCAGTACACACAGCTGTGTGGTGATATCTGCAGGCCTCTCAGTCTTCTGTGAGGGAGGCCTCAGAAGGCCAAGAACAGTGCTTCTGCAGCTGTCTTTGGAATATCAACCTTATTAAAACTCTGCAAAATCAAAAGAAAAAAAGCAAAAGGTTATGATAAAAATTAGAGATAAAAGTAATGAGAAAACATCGATTTTAGTATTTGTAAAATCACTTGTTTAACATTTGGAACACATATTAATGTATACATTCAGAACGCTCACTTTAAATAATCAAGTTGTTTTGTTTATTGGGTGTGATGATTGGTAAGGAGTTCCATGTGATACATTCATGGACCAGTGAGGGAGGAGAGAGTTTTCCTGCAGCAGTTGATTTTCAGTGTAGATGGAAATATTCAAGTTTTGAAAACATGTCCAGTAGCACCTAGTCAGGTAGAAAATCATTCCTGGTTGTAAAGTTGTGACAGTCCAACTCTGCTTTTCTTTGGTGGAACTTTATCTAAGGGTGTTACTTTTTTTTTTTTTAATTTAATATATTTTTTAAAAGATTTATTTATGCATACAATAACTGGGATATAGGCCAGAGGTGCAGGGGTGGTGAGAGGATTCAGAGTGGGGAGCAGAACAGGCAGATGTACTGAAGTACACTGCTGAGGGGAGGAACAGATGAGACAGGAGAGGTCTGCTGTACCATGTGGGTCAGCTCCTTGGCAAGGGATTGAACTCATGCTGCAGTGGCTGTGGATAGCTTCAGAGTGCTGTGCCACCAGGTAGGCCTTAAGGATGATAAGTTTAAACCCTTCATAGTTGCTTTGCACTTAAGCAAGTAATGTAGGAATGATACCTTTAGAAAGTAGCGTGTTTGTAATTTAGTAACTTTCACTAAAACAGTGTATGGTATTAAGAGACTAAAAATGCAAGCTTGTAATTTCTAGCTTGTTGCTGATACAGTTCACTTTTTTTTCTTTTATTCATGGTTTTATAAAATTTCTTGATTTCTAGCTTCATAGTGGGAGTAACAGTTTACTAAGTAAGCTCATTCATCAATCTTATCATGGACCTATGGATACAGTGTCTCTCAGTGGGACTATTCCAGTTCAGATGCTTTTGGAAATTGGTTTGGACAAACTAAAGAAAGATTATATTAGTTTTTTCATAGGTAAGTCTCTTTCACAGCTCACAAAAATAAACAAATAGATCAGAGTTGTCAACCATAAATATCCATATATTTTATCTTTTTACTTGTCTCTAGTTATTTGTGGTTCTGTCTTTTCTTGGTTCACTAGTAGATAAGCACTTCCATTCTTTGGGTCTTCATTTTCCCTTTGATAAAAGACAGTAGATTTTGTTTGTATTTAGTTAAGACATTTTGAGATTCTATTGGGTTAGGATAGGGAAAAAGCCCCCTCATTTATGAGATGCTGTTTTAATTCCCAATGCTTGGTGGTTTTTATTAGGAGCAAGCTGTGATCATTTTTAGGGTAAGTACTAGTCATTAGTTTTAGTATGGTTTGCCTGAAAACTTAGCCTTTTGTCAGGAACTAGTTAGCTTATATATGCAGTATAAATTGTTTTCCTTTTATACATAAAGTGTAGAATTTTTTCCCCTAGATTCCTCAACTAAGTAATATACAGTACCTAAAACTTACTAGCATGTATGTGTTTTTTTCTTCATAGGTCAGGAACTTGCCTCTTTGAATCATTTGGTAAGTTTACTTTCTATTCTAAGTTAGTATTTCTTTTACCCAGTCATTTTGCATTTAGGTGTTAAGTGCCTGTTATGTGTGGTATGCTGTTCTGGGTCTTAGGAAACAGATAAATAAGACTGTTGATGTCCTTAATCATACAACCTAGTGATACAGAAAAGTAGTCATTCTACATCATTTCTCATTCTTTATAAATTCATGACATACAGTTGTATTTTGCTCAAGCCAGTGTACAATATTTCCTCAAACAATATTGTTTCATAATAAGTTGATAAAACGTTCCTGATGTTTTTCAGAAGACCTAGTTTTGTATGTGTTATATCTGGTTTCACTTAAAGTCAATCTCCAAGAACGGATTGATGACATTAAAGTCCTACTGTACTAACACAACTTTCATTTATCCAAAGTGGCTGGGGAATACCTTTCTTTGTAGACCCTATATAGGAATATGTGCTTTGTATTCTCTTGATTCCTTTCTATTACACACTAAGAGATTATCTTCCAAGTAATTTATGGTGCTCTTTAATACATTGATTTAAAAGACACATTTGGGTTTCAGGGTTATAATTAGGAACGTTGGTGTTTTTGTAGCATGTTGATTTAGAAGGATTAGAAGCTTGACAACATCTGTATTGAGCCTTGACATTCATTGGAAGATCCTTTTAGAAAACATCTGTAGTATCAACAGGTTTTGATTTGTCTGTTATAAAAATACAGGGAATACTGTAGCTGTATCTGTTATGCAAGGTAAGACTCCACTAGATTTTAGTAAGCAGATACATTTTCAGTAGAAATATGCTGTAGCAAATTCATACATGTATTTGCTGTTTCTATGCATTTTTCAAAAATTTAATTTTTGAAAATTAGACCATAGCGTAAATGCACACAAATCTGAGTGCTGTCATTTTTATGAATTCCCCTAGGGTCATCCCATTGTTTTCTTTAATATGGTTTGATTGTAAACTTTTGACAAAAAAGAGAATCTCCTAGAGGGCTTTAAAAAATGTTAATTCTTGGGCCTGGCAACTCAGTAGAAAGGGGATAGGGATGGTTTTCTAAGCAAGCCATTTCCTACTCCAAATGACTGGTGCTTTTCCCTTACTGTTTTTTTACTCCTGCATAACAAATTACACAAACTTAGAAACTTAAACTTAGTTCCCAGGTGCTGGAGTTGGGCATGTTCTAGTTGGTTTCTCTGCTCTGGGTTTCACAAGGCTGAAATTCAAGTGTCACCCAACTGTGTGTTCCTCTGGAACCTTAGCCAAGGAAAAAACCTCTTCTAAATTCCTTCATTTGTCATTGGCAGAATTCAGTTTTTTGTGGTCATATGATAATGGTCCCCAATTTCTTGCTGGCTCTTGGCCCAAGGTGGTCTGTTACTTTTGGGCCCTTGCCTTGTGACCCTTCCCATAAGGTAACAGGCAATTCCAGAACCACCAGGAAAGCTGCTCTGATGTTTCACCTTTTAATGGGTGATAAGGTCATGACCAGGTCTTCCTGTTTGATCAATTCAGTTGACTAGTAGCCTGATCATGGGGGTTATCAGTCCATCATACTCATTTTTTGCCCTCACCCAGGAAGGGATTATACAAAAGGTATGCTCTAAGTAATTTTGTAATATGTTGATTTAGAAGGATTGTGGCCTTTTAGAAAGGAGGCCACAATTTTGGAGACTATGATAGAATTCCACCTACAATATTTACCATGATTATTTCCATAGGATGTGTCCTCAGAACTAGCTTTGGGACGTCCAAGAATTTTATGGTGCTTGACATACATTCCCAAACTTCTTTTCCAGAGGGTTTTGCCAAATTGCCAGTAATATATGCGAGTGGAATCTCATCAATACAGTTGCTTAATTTCTTGTTACTTCAGGTTTACTATTTACTTTTCGAAGTGGAAACTTCTATCAAACTAGAAAGGGTATTATAGTTAAGAACAGTTTTGTGGATTTGCCATACTATCCATCTGGAGAACTTGATGGGTAATATTAGTCCTTTGTAAATCAGTTCTGTGGTTTGCTTTTATTGAGAAATGTATGTAATGGTTTGATTAAAACATTCTAAGTGTATATTTTACTTAGAGTGTAGTTTGAAGAATTGCCTTGAAAGGTGGTAAATTCTACCCAGCCGCCTCCTGTTTGTTTCCCCTTCTCTATTAATTATCTGAACTTAGATTTAGCAGACACAACCATTTTTTTTTTTTTGACTGAAGATTTCGTTTGTTCTTTAACTTCCTATTTTGCTTACATTTTTTTCATTCCAGGAGTATTTCATTTCTCCATCAGTAGATATACAAGAACAGGTTCATCGTGTTCAGAAACTCCACCATATTCTAGAAATATTAGTCAGTTGCACACTTTTCATTAAACTTCAACATGAGCTTCTCTTTTCTTTAACACAGTAAGTATTTCTCTGTGTGAATTCACATAAAAGTGTATTCTCTTTGGAAATAGTTGCCAATTTTTGTTTTTTGCTTCGTTTTGTTTTTGCTTTGATACCAATTCATAACCTGTGCACCCTGTTTTCATAGTAGCTGAGTGGTTCCAAGTCCCAGTTACATGAAGGAAAAGCTTCAGATTCAGACGGAATCAGTTTTGTCACTCTTACCAATTCCCAACTTCTAAGGAAGTTTCCTTTCATTGAAATTTTTTTTGGGTGGGGGGACAATCTGTTATAAAGGATATAATAACCTCATTATTTTCTCATAAGGATTAAATGATATGATATGTATAAAATATTTGACACTCAATAAATAAATAAATAAATAAATAGGTAGGTAGATAAATAAATAACATTCAATAGGGGCTTAATAAATACTCCTTTTTCTCTACATCCATATAGATCTGGACCAAAGTAATCATTTCTAGTAATCTCTATAGTAATTGAATGGTATCAAATCTTATGAGAACTCTGTCAATATAATTGCTGTTATTTTAGAAACTCTACCAATCAGTTTGACTAAAAATAATTTGGATTAATTCTCATACATTTTACTGGTGTCTTAGATATATTTGAGGCCTTGGATTTAGAAAATGTATACTTTTCCAAAATCAGAATTTGTTTCTTTTGTAAACTAAAAAATTTTCATTAAAAATAAGTAGTATAAATGACTTAACTTCTTAATTCCCTAACTCTGAAAACCATGTAAGCTGTATTTTTAGCTCTCTTTGCCTCCTTTTGTTTTTCTTTTCTGATAACATCTTTTCCCCGGTTAAAACCATTACTTGGTCTCAAAATAGTTATGTTTTGTATTTGTGAGAAATAATATGTACTATTTTTTATAAAAAGAATGATATTTCTAGAAAAAAGCAAAATTTAAGTCATGTTGGCAAAGGGTTATTTATTTTGTTTGGTTTTATTATTTATGGACCTGAAATTATACTTGTTGATATTATGATTAATGGTACTTAATAAAATGTTTTCCTTTTGAACTTCAGACTACCAGAAAGTCTTTATGTCCATGTGGCAATTTTTCCAAGGGATGATTTTTTTTTTTTGGTAGATCCTGCATAAAATATTATAAACAAAATCCCCTTGATGAGCAGCACATTTTTCAACTGCCAGTCAGACCAACTGCTATAAAAAGCTTATATCAAAGGTAAAAAATATTAAATTATACTTTAAAGCTTGGCCATAATTCTGAGTAGTTTTTGTATCCGCCCATGGGGACCTCATAATTCAGGGCTGATTCATCTCTGAAACTTGAACCATCCTTACCCCACTTTCTGATCACTGTCTGATGGAGTTCTTTCTTTTCCTTCTTACAGAACTTTAGTCTACTTTCTTTAGACAGTTGGGCCCCTCATCTCACTCTTTTCTCAATTAAATTTCTTTGTGTATACGGCACAAAGTATTGCTAGAAGAAAAATGACATATTGAAAGGAAAGTGATTAGCAAAGCCAAAGGTATGGTGGTGGGAGTAAAAGAAGGGCTTAAACTTTGGGGAGGTGTGGAACTGTGAGGCTAAGATATCAGATAGGTCATCGTTGGACACTGGGATTGCCTAAAATGCTGGTCCTTAAGACTCCTCCTTTAGCATTTGATATACTTGAAGTTTCTCTCATTCTAAAACCATTCTGTTTATACCCTCTGTTTAATTCCCTCTTCAGCCAAGCCCTATCATTTCCCTGAAACTGTTCTGACAAAGCTCAGGACACCACATTACTGCATTTTTTTCAGTCATACCCCTTGATGCCTATGCATGTGTCATCCTTTATCCTGGACCTTGGATGGACCCGGTCCATTAATTAACTCCTTATTTCAAACTCTACTTAAATTCCGTAATTTCTTTCCAAACTGTATAATCCCAGTCTGAGATAAATTACCCCCCCTTTTTTTTTGTCCTCCACAACATCCAGAATTTCTGTTAAAGCATTTTGAAGGTTTTTTTCCATTGAATTAGTTCGCTTATATTCTTGTTTTTTCTCCCTCGCTTGCCTGCTTGAGGTTTGTTAATGGTGACCTGTTCATCTCTTTTACCTCAGTGCCTGTCACATAAGGACTTCCTTTACTCAGTGACTATAGGAGAAAGGAATGAACTGTTTTTTCCCTTGATGGTTTTTTTTTTCTTCCCTTAGTGAGAAGCCACAGAAATGGAAAGTAGAAATAAATAGTGGTCAAAAGAAGGTGAAAACAGTTTGGCAACTGAGTGACGGTCCACCTGTGGATCATCTGAATTTCCACAGACCTGGTAAAGAGGAAATTCTAAGTTATTCCAGTAGAAAATGAACAAAGTTTCTGGCAGAGATCGTTATTATAATTCTTGTGCCTGGTTTTAAATAATTTTCCTGAACCCTAAGTGTCAAGCATATTCTCAAAAATTACAAGTGTGCCTTTTCTCATCTTGATAAAGGAACTTTTATTAAAACAGATCATGCAATGGATATATAGAAGTACAGCAGATTATAAGATGGAAACGCCAACTTGCACTTAACACTTTCATGACTATTTAAGACAGCGATATTTCTACCCTATTATCTTTTTTGACTGGAATACGGGCCTGGAGATTTCAGTTTAGAGTATTAAAACTCTAGTGTCAGGGCCCTCCCTAGTGGCGCAGTGGGTTACAGCACAGCACTAACAAACTAAAGCCACTTCCGCATGAATTCAGTTCCCGCCTGCCCTGGGGGTGACCACATGGCGAGGCAGACCTCTCCTGGCCTGCCCGCTGCTCCTCTCAGCAGTGTACTTAGTTGATCTGCCTGTTCTGCTCCCCGCTCTGTCTCTGGTGAATCCTCTCACCCTCCGCATCTCTGGCCTGTAGCCCAGTTCTGTATGAATAAATAAAATAAATCTTTAAAAAAAAAAAAAACCTCTAGTGTCAAAGATTGACTGTGTCAATCACAGAATGTTTTAGCCCCTTGTGTAATTGCTAGCTCCACCAAGTCTTCCTTTAATAAACACCTATAAAACTATTATCTTCATGCATATGGATTATATGTAGGCTCCTGGTGTTTCTTGTTTGTATAGGTCTTTAATAGCCTCATTCAAATATTGGAAAGATTATTCAAAATCAAATCTTAAGGTTTTAATACAATTAAAAATGATTTCAGGAGGCTTCTCTGGTTTTGCAAGGGGTTAAGTCTCAGTACTATGAAGCTTTACGCAGGTACTACAGCACGAGTTCAGTCCTCAGCCAGGGAGCTGACCCACACGGCACAGCAGACCTCTCCTGTCTGGCCTGTCGCTCCCCTCAGTAGTATATTTCAGTAGATCTGCCTGTTTTGTTCCACACTCTGTCTCTAGTGACTCCTGTCAACACCCCCCACCACCCCCCCACACCTCTGGCCTACAGCCCAGCTCTTGTATGCATAAATAAATAAAAAATGTGGGTTTTTTTTTTCTTTAAAAAAGATTGATTGTAAAGGCCTATCTGTAATCAACCACTGTTGGGATGCAAAATTGGTACCTTAGAAAATTATTTCCAGAAAATGTTAATTCTTTTCCAAAAAAGATTTTTTGATTTGGCATTATGGGAATTTCAGTCCACTAGAATGAAAACTGTTCATATGACTGAACTGTAAGAGTCCTAAATAAACTAAAAACAATTACCTTGGAAGAGTAAGCTAAAATTGTACTACTTTTCTCCGTGTGATTAAAAAGAACCTGGAAGCTGTAAAATATTATAAATCAACTATATAAAAATAAATTTGGGGGGCCCTCCCTGGTGGTGCTGTGGGCTAAGGCGCAGCACTATGAAGGTAGCTTTAGGCCCTTCAGCATGAGTTTGATTCATGACCAGGGAGGTAACCCACATGGCTTGGCAGACCTCTCCTGTTTTGCCCGCTGCTCCCCTCAGCAGTGCACTTCTTCAGTCGGCCTGTTCTGCTCCTGACTGTGTCTCTGGTGAATTCTCTCACTGCCCCTGCGCCTTTGGCCTATACTCCAGTTCTGTTTGCATAAATAAATAAATATTTTTTAAAAATGTTTGCATGGGGAAAAAAATACCAGAGGCAAATTAATATTCAAATAATAAACTAGGAAAAGAAGTTTCAATTTATTCAGAAAAGAAATTATATTCCTTAATATATAAAGACCTTCCAGATCAGTAAGAAAACTATTAATAATCAATAGGTAGGTAATGGATAGTTGAACAAAGGGGAAATTCAAATGTCATCTTTAAAATGGAATGATACTCTATCCCACCTATAGTAAGAAAAAATTCAATTAAACATTTTGTAGATACCATCTTTCAACTATCAAATTAGTAAAGTTCAGAAAGTGTGAAATCACAGTGCTGGCAAGGATAATGGAAGAACAGGCAGGCAGTCTCACACATTGCCAACTGGAGTCTAAAGTCTTAAAGTTTGGAGGGCAGTAGCCACCAAAATGGTTTAAAAACGCATTCTTTGGTCCAGGGGCTCCATTAATAGGAATTTATTCCACACATATAACAAAGTGTGCAAAAACAGCTGTAAATTAGGTTATTCATTGCAGTATTTGTTTGCAGTGACAAAAAAAAAAAAAAAAAAA